GAAGGTTGAGTGTTTAGGACTGAAAACTCCAGAAACTTCAGAAGTTGAGGTACGGGGAATAATCCTAATTCTATTGCATTAAAATATTAAGAAAAGAACTTCAGTGTAAATTCATTTAGTGGAATATTTGTAGAACCATCTGCAAGGTCAACTGAACCACAGTGCCCTCCATAACAAGTACAATATGACTAAATTCATTTGCCCCTGTGGTGATGGATCTTTCTTATCATTTCAATCAATTTGTCCCTCATCAAAGGTCAAATCCTTTGTAAAATCTTAAGTAAATCCTAATTAAGACTGGGCTACTTAACCTTTGAAATGTTCAATCTGGTCAAAGGTATAGAATCCAAGCTCTTCTTGGGGAGATGATCTCTGGGGCTTCTTCCCTATCCCCTCCCTTCAGATCTCCTCATAGAGTTTCCCTGGAAAGAAATCTTTCCTTTATCCAGTATCACACTGGGTATTCAGGGATGACTTTCCAATGCAGAAAATGGGCAGGGCCAAAAGTTACAGGTTAGATCAGAAAGCTGAGGCTAGGCCTTAGATCTCTACATCAACCCCCTTCTAACCAGCTGCTGACTAGAACACTTAAACACTTATCTATTTATGCAAGAGAATTCTTATTTCACCTTACTGAATATCCAGAAATAGAGAAACAAGGGTCTTTCCTTATCTCTAACATTAACATTGCTAACAGAAAGTCTCTGGGTCTTTAGAAGTGCTTGCATTGAGAGAGGCACTGTGGATGTCCTGGCAGTGGGAACAGACCAGGTGACCTGAACCACTTAAAAATGTTGGGGTGACATATTTTCCCTCCATAGGCATGACCACTTTAAGGAAAAAAAAGTCTAAGAAAAGCTCTTGTTCCCACTTTTATGTTAAAATGGGGAAATTTGGAGGGTGAGAAATTCAGTGTCATCTAATAACAATGATGATAACAATAATACTAACTAGCATGTATATAGCGCCTTATGGTTTACAAAGCACTTTACAGATATTATCTCATTTTATCCTCACAACAACCCTGGGAGGTAGGTGCTATTATTGTCCCCATTTTACAGATGAGGAAACTGAGGCAGACAGTGGTCAAGTGACTTGCCCAGGGTCACAGCATGAAATAAAAAGGCTGTCCTCAATCTGTCTTTTCACTTATAGAACCAGAATGGCAAAGAAGCCACTCTCTACCTAGGCAGAGCTCCAAAGCCAGTTCTCTAGGGCCTTTCAAAGTTACATGCTTTCCATTGGTTCTGTGTCTTTCCCTTTTCCTCTGCCCCTACCAAAGCTGATGGCCAGGATTCCAATCCACTTGATATCTGGGAGGGAGAGAAGGTGGTGCTCCAGTGGAGAAGTGGGGGTCAGCCTAGAGAGTGCAGTGGTGAGAAAAGGGATGCTCTGGGAGGATAAATCAGAATGGTACCCAACTTGTTTTTCTCTTTTCCTCGGTGTTATTGCTGAGGAGAAGAGTCTAGATGGAACCTTTGTGTGTGTTTCAGGTAAGATAACGGTCACATCTGCTGGGAAAGGATGGGAGGTGGGTGGGTGGGAGCAGTAGAAACAACCAGGGCAAGACATTTAGATATCAATTAAAAATATTTTCTTTAGTTTTGGGAGGCGGGGGAGAGAGGCAGGGAAGGGGAGAGGAGAAGAGGTAGAAGGAGACATTTGCCATACAGAGTTAAAAGAGCCAAATGTGCACTTTGGGCCTGTGAAATAAGATGTCATCTGGATTTCTGTGAAGCCGGTGATCACGCACCATCTATCCCTCATCTTTTTGCTTTGATCAAACTGCACCATCTTCATCTGTAATTGTTTTACAAACAGGATCCTGAAAACCATGCTACCAAAATAGAATCCTTTCCTGTCAAAGCCGAAGTAAAAACAGAAGCACAGACTGATGAAATTGTGAAGGACCTCGTTCAACCCAGTCCTCAACAGGAATCACCATTATCCAACCCTAACAAGTGGCCACTGAGCTTCTGCTTGAAGATTTCTAGCCTTGGGAAGCACCTTTCCCTTTCAGATTGCTTTCTATCTACTCTGTATGTCTTATATATCCCTAGTGATTTACATATTGTTTCACACCAGAATGTAAACTCCTTGGGGACAAGGACTTGTTTTTGCCTTTCTATCTCCAGGGCATACAGAAACCCAGCTAACATATGCACATAATAAGCCCTTATAAAGTGACAGACTGCTTCTGGAGGTAGCCTTTGGGGCCACTCTGATTGCTAGGCAGTTTTTCCTAACATGGAGCGAAAATCTGCATCTCTGCCAATTCCACCCCTTTTACCTTGATTGGACCTCATGGGGTCACGTGAATAAGTCTCATCCCTCTCCTGTAAAACAACCTTTTGCCTACCAGCATGCCTTCAACCCCAAGTCTTCTCTAGGTTGACTATCCTAGTAAAATCTTTGCTTTTCCCATTTTGTAATAACAGGAACTACCCTTGCATTTGTATCCCCGGCACCTAAGATGGTGCCTAGCATATAAGAAGTGCTTAAGAAGTTCTTTTTCATTCATTGTTCAAGGAGAACTAGTCATTTTTCTTTTACCACCTGAGAGGCTTAATATTCCATGTACCCTATTAAAGCAAAATGTCAATGAAAATATCCATCCTATTCTAGCTGCAAGGTATGGGGACACCAAGTCCAATCCACATTGTCATATTTTACATAGAAAAGATGCTTAAATTGGTCCCCCTGGACTCCATACTGTAGTAGTGCTGATGTGAGACAGAGAGGCATTACCATAGCACTGCACAACGTCAGAGAAATGACCCAACGTAAAGAGCATATCCACAAATGAGATTTTCTTAAAGCTTTCTAGCTGTTTGGAACCGTGTCATTACTTCAGATTAATTGCACGCGCTCTTCACATAACATGCATCTCACAAATTTTCTCCAGAACAAAGAAAAATCTGTCATCATGGGTAACTTTCAGAATATAGCTTTAAATTTTGCTTTATAAATGCAGATGCTTATACACAGTGCACAAGGCTGCATTGTCTTTTTAAGCATGCACTGTAGTGCCAGTCTAAGGACCTCTTGCAAAGTATCATTCTTCATCTTGCAATCGTAAATTGCATAAGCTTTGATGTTCCCCATTAGTCACACAGGTGAGGACTATTAATTTCAAGGTGAAACACTGGACTTTTTTTGAATACTATGTGTGATACCTTATTCTCCTTCTGAAGTTGGAAACTATCTGGATACAGCTGCTGCATTATTATTAGTTTCTTTCCAACTGGTGTGACACTCTTTTCTGAAAAAATCTAAGCGAATGTATTTCCTGACTTTCCAAACATAAGCAATCTTCAAAAGACAACTTGCTTTCTTTTTACCATGCAGTTCAGAGCATGATGGGTACCAAAGTAGCAATACCAGCCATTGTGGCTAAAGGATTTGCCCTACCTGTCCTTTTAGTCACAGTGGCTTGCTTGAGTATTTCCCTGTCACTAGCGCCATCTTCAAAGACCCAGGGCAAGGAGTATGTGTATGCTAACACTGTAGCAAGTGTAATTAACTTATATTTGTTTGGAGACTGACAAAGGCAGGGAGATGAGGGGGACATAACCTAAGGAAACCTAATTGTACAAAGGCATTTGAGGCTTTTTTGAATTCAATTGACCTCTGAAAGATTATCGTTCTACATGAGGAGGGCAGAAGGACAAAGGCCAGGACAGTTTATTTCCAGGGAAGCAGGTGGATCATTGACATCTGGTGCATATCATTGACATCTGGTGCACCTTATTGGATGTTCCGAATGGCCAGATGCTGACTCTGGAATTCTGTGCTCAGGATGCCATCCTTTGCAAAGTCAGCATTCTGAACCACCTGTCTATCTCATGCTTCCTCTAAACAGCATCTATGAAGTCTACTTGAAGAACAAATTCACCCTTTTTACTCTGCACTTGCTAGTGGTGTGCACCTAGAGATGGGTCTTTGGTTCTTCTAATTCTACAAATTCTGTGACTGGCCTAAAAGCGCCAGCTGCAACTCACTAAGCCAATGTGGGTGTTGTCACTTGTTTTTTCCACTAAATGTGTGCTGAATGTGGCCAGTGAAATGAACTCTCCCTTGATTTTCCCCAGCAATCGGGAGGGGAAGAGGTGGGAGAGCTGGACTAGCAACTTTTATGAGTTGGGGGGAGGAGGGATTTTCAATTGATAGTGAAAAAATCTTTTTCAAAAAGTTGAAAGAGAGATTTTTAAATCTGCATAGCTTTAAGAAAGAGGGCAGAGTTTTTAAATGTCACCCCTCTTCTGAGAAAGGATAGCTGTGTGTGGGCAGTAGACTTTAACAATAAAATTGTGGTAGCTTTCTTATGTAAGGAAGGCTTTTCAAAACATCAATGTATGAGCATGTCTACCATAGCAAGTTTATACTGTAAAGTTGCCACGGAAACACCAGCTCTGTAGGTCATCCCCAGAGGAAGGGCTCTTTTCCCCAGAAAACCAGGCTTCGTTCCTGAACTCCAGAGCTCTGTCTGGTGTGGAAGGGCAGCCCTTTCCTCACTGGCATGGGAGTTTAAGTTTCAGGCCTCTGGGGAATAGGCTTTGTGTTCTGTATGACTTAAACCATGCCATGGCTACTGTTTCTCGATTTGTTTGTTGAGTGTTCTGGGATGGCTGATGTGGAAAGGGTCATGACAGGCAGCACACTTCTAGGAAAGCCTCCTCAGGAGAGAATAACCCCAAATGCTGAATGGCTGGGTTGTCTTGTGCAGTGAGCTGCCCTTCCTAAGAAGGGAGATAATAAAAAGGAGTAATCAAAACCAAGTGAACAATTACATTGGGAGACAGATCCTCTATCCTATTTTCATAGATCTTTAGAAAAGCATTTTCAATCCCCCGGGGAGTAAAAATAATCTGTAGGTGGGGATGATGGAAATCTCTACTTACTAAAGAGCTTCATGTGACTGAAGAAGTATAGATTTAAAAGGAAATACTTCTTAAAAAGAAAAGAAATACCTAATGCACAAGTTACCAATATTTAAATAATCCAGTTGAAACCTTTTTTTTCATTAATGAAAAAATACAACATATACTATTACCTACACTGAGAAGAGAGCAAATGACTGGGGAATGGGGGTGAGGAATGCGAAGGTCCATTCAGTTAGAGCATCTCTAGACTCATATATACAGCACCAGATCCAACCAGTTAAATTGGCTCCCCTTGAGTCTGTAAAGTTCGTGAGAAATGAACACTTCAGAATTGCAGTATAAAATATGGCCATAAAAAAAGCTTCTGTCTTCCAGTCCTGTGCAGGAAGGGGCACCATGCAAGGTGAAATCACTCAGGTGAGATCACGTCCTGATGGCCTCTGGTGGGGCCTTCTTTCCTAGCTCTTCCCTCTCCCCCACCAGCCCGGCCTCTACCACCGGGGACAGTCACTTGCTGCCAGTGTGGACTGTGGTCACAGTGGTTGGCCTCGGTCTCCGCTCAGCTCCTACTGCAGAGACACCCGAAGAGGAGGAAATAAAACTACAGAGTGTGGAGGATGCCAGGCCTGGAAGAGAAGCCAGAAAAGACAAATGAATTTTGTTAACCAAAAACAATACCACAAGTCCGTGAGACATTGCATTGCAACTGGATCTTTTAAAGAGAAAAGAACATGTATGTGGAACCTAACAACAAGATGGGTCCTAGTTGGAATTGTTGTAAGACTCCTACCTCTGGCCACTTCTAAATTGACGGAGTCCTGTGATGGTTAATGAGAAGAATTCATGGTGCATAGATTAGAATTGGAAGGGACAACAGAGTTCAACCCACTCATTTTACAGATGGACAAACAGGGGCCCAATTAGTTAGACATTGGTGCCAAAACTTTAGGTGCTGCTGGTAAGGATGAAGGTTCCTAGAAGAAGTTGGGGAAACTCCAGTGAAACTGATAAGGAAAGTAGCTCTCCTTTCTACTAGAAGCCAGAAGGGCCTGCCCTGGAAAGGACCTCATTTCTCTAGAGATCAAAGTAGGAGCTAAGGCAGCAATTTGGCCTAGGACTGGAGGGCAGCAGCAGCCATATCAGGGAACATATGGAACAGATGTTTTTTAGGACTTTAAATCTGAGCTAAGCTAAATGAATGATGGCAAGTACTACATGTGACTTTTTCTTCCCTAGACTGGTGATTTCACCAATGTAAGGAACCCCCCCATGAGGAAAGTTCCTTTACTGATAGGGATCAGCACCTTTTCTGTACCTGAGAATCTTAGAAAGTTGTTTGGGACACGGAGAGATGGGTCACACAGTCAGGGAGTGGGAGGAGTAAAACTTGAGCCCAGGTTTTCCTGATGGAGATTGGCTTTTTCCTCTAAGTCACACTATCTCTTGTGTGTCACCTCAACTACATAGAGTTGGTACGCTTGAAGTCCCCTCACAATGCAGTAGTTTATTTGAGTAACTGAATCATCACTTGCTAGACTTCAGTGGACAAATCGGGTAAATGGATTTGACTTGAGCAGCCACGGAGCAGGGAGGGACAAGGCCTGGTCCTCATACCATTGAAGGGAGCTCAATAGTGGCGTGTTATTGCTATTGTAGCTATTTACTAAGACAAGCCTCTAAAATTTAGAAACTGCCATGCACAAGGGTTCAGAGCTATGAAATGGCTTAAAGATCAGGGTTATTATTAGCATTAGTTCTGCTCTATCTGAAGTTTAACTAGGCTTTTGTGGCCTACACTGGAAATCTAGCCATTATTTATGCTCTTCCTATGGGAAAATGCAGCATTTTGAATTCCAGTCAACAGATTTACAGTGGAATACATTCAGAAGTTGAGAGCAGCTTGTGTGTGTGTGTGTGTAGAGGAGAGATAATTGCACTTTGGCTAATAAAGTAAAGAAAAAGGGATAATGCGTGAATTCCATTTATTTTGATTAATTTAAAAGCTGAAGAGAGACAAGCTGAGGTAAGGCTGGATTCAGAGTCCTTAAAAATGCTTGCTGACTAGGAATCCCTCCCCCAGCAGAATGTCCCTAAGTACTGGCAGCTGAAGCATCTCTTGCCAGGTACTCACGATCTTTTCGGGTGGTCCCGTCAGGGAGCTGGCTGGCCAGACTGAGGTTGCTTGACACACTTGCATTTGAACTGTCCAGGCTGCTGCCGAGGTGCAGTTTCCTCATATGCCTCACGACGGCTGTGGCATTGAATGCTTGCTGAGATTTAGAAGGAGAGAGGAAAAAAGGGAAAAAAAAAAAAACAACACAAGGAATAGCCAAGTTAATTGGAAAAGGCCCAGTTTTGGTCCTTTTATTTCACTAGTTATCTTAAGTATTCCAGAGTTCTCGGAAGTCAAAATGTTCTCATGATATTTTAGGAAGGAAGCTTATGGGGGTGAAATGTTGCTTCTTCAATCTAAGAGTGTTCCTATTGACAAGAGAATCTGTCAGGATGAAAAGCTGCGATTTCGTCTGCTTTCAAGTGAAGTCAAGAAGCAGTGATTAAGCACCTCTGGGTCAGGCACTGTATTAAATCTAACCTGGGTTTTAGAGGGTATTTTACCTAAGGGACATTCCATACATACAACAACATCCATGGGATAACGTAAACTAGAGTCAGAGAATCTTAAGTGTTGGAAGGCACCTTTGGGGTCCCCTTCCCCAACTCCCTCTTGCTATATAAATCCCTTCCATGATATGTCTAACAAATGTTGATCTAACCTGGTCCCTTTAGTGATGAGGACCTCACCTCTTCATAAAAATAAGTTAAGAATCTAAGTAAACAACATATTCAAAACAAGGGTATATTATCATATCTTAAAGGTTCATGTTTTTAAAACAGTTTTTATTTTTTATTGTAGGTACCATCTTGCACTAATGTCCTATTCTGCTGACCAAGAGTGGCTAGAGATGACCCTGGGCTGTCAAAGGCTGGACATTTGGTGTATAGGCTTTCAAAGGTCCTTGTTGTTGTTCAGTTGTTTCAGTCTCGTCTGACGCTTCATGACCCCATTTAGTATTTTCTTGGCAAAGATACTGGAGTGGTTTGCCATTTCCCTTTCCAGCTTATTTTACCCATGAGGAAACTGAGGCAAACAGGGTTAAGTGACTTGTCCAGGGTCACACAGCTAGTAAGTATCTGAGGCTAGATTTGAACTCAGGTCTTCTTGACTTAAGACCTGACAGTCTATCCACTGTACCACTCAGCTGCCCCTACAAGGTCCCAAGAGCTCCAAGTATAAGCCTGGTGATAGATGGCCCATCTGTTGCCCAAGGACCAATCTGTGTAAATCTGGAGAAGCACATCACCAAGTTGGCTGCTGGGTAGAATTCCCAAAGACCATTACTAAGTCATGGAGAAACAAAGATCTGTCGGTGGAAGAAATATCTGCACCAAATGGTAGGCCCTTGAAGCATCAATATCATTATTTTTAAAAATAGCATTCCCTTTCATGAAACTAGGTTTATCACAGAAGCAGACTGAGATAGTGGCTACATAATCTCACCAACAGCTCTAGGATACTAACTTGCACAAGCATGTTGTTGGGTCTCAGGACTCATCTAAAGTATTCTCTGACTGTTGCAGGGACCCCTATATAACAACACACTTTGACAAGTGGTTGTCCAGTCTTTGCTTGAATACCTTTTGTGATGGGAATCTTACTACCTCAAAGTCAGCTCATGCCATTTCGCATTAGGCAGCTCTAATTTTTTAAAGTTCTTTCTCATATTGTGTTGAAATTGATATCTCTGTAACGTCTACCCATTCATTCTTTTCTCTGGAGCCACATGGAGTAATCCTAATCACTGGTACATGACATCCACTGGAACAGTTGAAAACCGCTTTCTTTCTCTGTATCAACAAACCAATTGATGAACATTTATTAAGCATTTACTCTGTGTCAGGCCCTGGGCTGGGTTACAAAGGCAAAAGTGAACTTTTGCTGATCTCAAGGAGATTTCAGTGTATTTTTTTAACCAATCAATAAACATATATTAAGTGCTAATTATGTGCCAGGTACTAGGCTAAATGCTGGGATACAAAAAGAGGCAAAAGACAGCTCCTGCTCTCAGGGAGCTTATAATCTGATGGCACAGAAACATGCAAACAACTATATATGACAAAAGCTATAAATGAGATGAACAGAAAACAATTAAAAGAGGGAAAGCACTGGATTTAGAGGGGTTAGGGAAGGCTCCCTACAGAAGGTGGGATTTTAGTTGGGACTTAATGGAAGCTGGGGCAGCTAGGTGATGATGTAGATAGAGTGCTGCACCTGGAGTCAGGAAGACTCATCTTCCTGTGTTCAAATCCAGCCTCAGACCCTTATGAGCTGTGTGACCCTGAGCAAGTCACTTAACCCAGTTTGCCTCGGTTTCCTCATCTGTAAAATGAACTGGAGAAGGAAATGGCAAACCACTCCAGGACCTTTGCCAAGAAAACCCTGAAAGGAGTCACAAAGAGTTGGGCACGACTGAAAAATGACTGAACAACAACTAAAGGAAAGCAGGGTGGTCATTGGCCAGGGTTGGGGGAAAGAGCATTTTAACAGCTATATCTAACTATACATCTACACACGTATTACAAATATGTAAAAAATAAATACAAAGTTTTTTTTTTTGAAGGCAGAAAGGAACTAGCAGCTAGAGGTTAGTGAAGTCTTCATATAAAAGCTCCATCTTTGAGGAAACTAGGCATTCTCTCTACCCCTAGCCCCTAACCTTCTCTGACCTAAATATTCTCTATGTGACCATCTCTTTAATCACTCATATGGATACATGACAAGATAAGCTTAGGTAACTATCTGATAATCATAAAACCTTCAGCTTTTCAGTTATCTATGAATCCTTTTACTAGAAATGCTCATGAGGGACTGTAACTCCAGGTGACTGATTTAGGCTTTCCCAATCTTTTCTTCACCTATGAAGGAAATAATAATGCATATTGTGTCACTCTTAAACTGTAGATGGCAAAAGAAAGAGAAAGAACAGATTAGGGGCTGGGATCATTCTCAAGTCAGATAACCTGCCTCTGAAAATCTGAGAAGTGGCTAGATTTTTTTTTCCCAAGGGGAAATGGTTGAAATAAACTATTCACGCCTTTTGGATCTTGCTATTTATTTCCTTAGGCTATCATCTAATTTATTTCTTGTAAAGAAGCCCTAAAGTTTAGGGAAGAAAACAGTAGACTTAGAGACTTGGGATAGAATCCCACTTGAGGGGGCAGCTAGGTGGCATAGTAGATAGAGCACCAGCCTGGTGGTTCAGGATTCAGGAGGACCTGAGTTCAAATGTGGCCTCAGACACATAACACTTACTAGCTGTGTGACCCTGGGCAAGTCACTTAACCCCATTGCCTAGCCAAAAAAAAAAAAAGAAAGAATCCCACTTGAGAGAGAGACTAACTGTGTAATCTTGGGAAAGTCACTCACCTCTCAAAATCTCAATGTGCTTGTCTGTAAAATGGGGATAATAATACTTTCACCACTCATTTCATAGGATCATTGCAAAGAGAGCATGGTATGCAAATGTGGGATTTTATTATTATCTCTTGAAATTAGGGATCACTTGAGTAAAGTTCTGAAGCTTTGGAAAGATACTGATTTTTAATCTAAATCATTTTGGTCATTTCATCTCTAAATGAGAAATTTCCAGTTATATACATAATAGATTTTATGTGAGGTGGTTAAATAGATTAAGGACTAAGAAAGAGGCATTGAGACAATAAAAGGGCCACCAGGTTTCCTATCCAGACTTAGTCAACAATTAACTGTGATAATGAGTAAGTCAATTCACTGGGTAAAGGTACTCAATATCTTCATCAGTCCAACAGCAGGTGATCGCTAAAGTCTTGCCCAGAATAATATTCTGTAAGTCTATTAATTCAGAATTAAAGCATGCAAAAATTAATGGAATTTCATTCCAAAGTTTGTTTGTTCATTCATTTGCTTATTCATTCATGCCCTCTTTCAAGATACACTTAGTGAATGATTCTATTAATTCCTAATTTATGCCAATGAGGAAAAAAAAAATCTATGACTTACTCTCCATTTGCTTTTTGCAAAGTTCTTCTGGATCTGGGCACTGACTGACTGGTGGATGTTTTTGCTGAGGGCTGTATCACCAGCAATCCTGAAATAGAAAAGTGCTTTTTTAGAAATGTTTGCTCTGACAGAAGTAATACCATAGCTCAACCTTGTTCTGTCTCCCATGTATGCCTCACATTCCCTCTCTTTCTCAAATTTGAATGGGGAGGTAGAGGGGACAACCTGCTTCTTGGTTACCAAGTCATCTCTTTCATGCTACTCCTTTTTTTTCTTTGCAGCAGGTTTTTAGGTTTATTTTTTCATTTCTATATTAGCCATGTGGCAAAAAAAAAATACCAAATAAGAAGCATAAATTTTTTTTAAAGTATTCTTCAATCTACATTCAGAGTTCATCATCAGTTCTCTCTCTGGAGATGGATAGCATTTTTCATCATAGGTCCTTTGGAATTATCTTGGATCATTGTCTTGATTGCAGTAGCTAAGTCTTCTCATAGTTGATCATTGTTACCATATTGCTATTACTGTGTACAGTGTTCTGCTGGTTCTGCTCATTTCACTTTGCATCAGTTCATATGTCTTCCCAGGTTTTTCTGAAACCATCCTGCTTATCATTTCTTATAGTACAATAGTATTCTATACCAAACTGTTCAGCCATTCCCCAATTGATGGATATTCCCTCATTTTTCTATTCTTTGCCACTATAAAAAGAGCTGCTATCAATATTTTATACATATAGGTCCTCTCCTCTTTGCTTTGCTCTCTTTGGGATATAAACCCAGTATTGGTATTGCTGTGTCAAAGGGTATATATGCACAGTTTTGCAGAGCACAGTTTTTCTAGCCCTTTGGGCATAGTTCCAAATCATTCTCCAGAATGGTTGGACAATGGTTCACAACTCCACCAACAGTGCATTAGTGTACCTATTTTTCCATATCCTCCAGCATTTATTATTTTCTTTTTCTGTCATGTTAGCCAATCTGAAAGGTGAAATAGTATCTTAGAGTTGCTTTAATTTGCATTATTCCAATCAATATTGGTTTAGAGTATTTTTCATGTGACTAGCTTTGACATTTCATTCTCAAAACTGCCTGTGTATATACTTTAACCATTTATCAATTGAGGAATAGCTCTTATTTTTGATAAATTTGGCTCAGTTCCCTAAATATTTGAGAAATAAGGCCTTTATCAGAGAAACTTGCTATAAAAATTCTCCCCCCCAGTTTCTTGCTTTCCTTCTAATTTTGGTTGCATTGGTTTTGTTTGTGCAAACCCCCCCCCCTTTTTTTTGTTGGCTAGACAATGGGGTTAAGTGACTTGCCCAGGGTCACACAACTAGTAAGTGGTATGTGTCTGAGACCATATTCGAACTTGGGTCCTCCTGAATCCAGGGTTGATGCTCTATCCACTGTACCACCTAGCTACCCCCTGTGCAAAACCTTTTTAATTTCATATAATCAAAATTATCCATTTTCCTTCCTGCAGTCCTTTCTATGTCTTGTTTGGTCATAAACTCTTCCCTTATCCATAAATCTTACGGGTAAAATTTTCCATGCTCCCCTATGATATCACTCTTTATGTCGAAATCATTTACCCATTTTTACCTTATTTTGGTATACAGTGTGAGATATCGGTCTATGCCTAATTTTTGCCAAACTTTCTAGTTTTCTCAGCAATTTTTGCCAGATGCTAAGTTCCTGCTTCAAAAGCTTGGATCTTGGGGTTTATCAAACACTAGATTACTATGGTCATTTACTACTGTGTATAATATGCCTACTCTATGCCACTACTCTATTTCTTAGCCACTACCAGATTGTTTAGATAGTTACTGCTTTGTAACGTAGTTTGAAATCTGGTACTACTAAACTTCCTTCCTTCACATTTTTTTCACTGATTGCCTTCATATTCTTGATTATTTTTTCTTCCAGATGAATTTTGTTATTATTTTTTCTAGTTCTCCTTTGGTAGTTTGATTAGTGTGGCACTAAATAGGTAAATTAATTTAGGTAGAAATGTCATTTTTATTATATTGGCTCAGCCTACCTGTGAGCAATGAATATTCCTCCACTTGTTTAGATCTGTCTTTTTTTGCATGAAAAGTGCTTTGGAATTGTGTTCACATATTCCCTGGGTTTGTCTTGGCAGGTTTACTCCCAAGTATTCTTAAAATGTCTGCAGTCATTTTAAATGGAGTTTTTCTTGCAATCTCTTCTGGCTGGACTTTATTGGCAATATGTAGAAATACTGATGATTACGTGGGTTTATTTTATATCCTGCATCTTTGCTAAAATTGTTAATTGTTTCAGCTAGTTTGTTAGTTGATTCCCTAGGGTTCTCTAAGGATATCATGATACCATCTGCAAGAAGTGTTTTGTTTCCTCATTGCCCTTTTTCTTTTCTTTTCTTTTTTTTTGGTTTAGGCAATGGGGTTATGTGACTTGCCCAGGATCACACAGCTAGTGGCAAGTGTTTGAGGCCAGATTTGAACTCCAGTCCTCCTGACTCCTGGGCTGGTGCTCTATCCACTGTGCCACCTAGGTGCCCCATCACTGCCTATTTTTATTCCTTTAATTTCTTTTTCTTATTTTATTGCTGTAGCTAGCATTTCTTTTTTTTGTTTTGTTTTGTTTTGTTTTAGGCAATTGGGGATAAGTGACTTGCCCAGGGTCACACAGCTAGCAAGTGTCAAGTGTTTGGTCTGAGGTCGGATTTGAACTCAGGTCCTCCTGACTTCAGGGCTGGTGCTCTATACACTGCACCACCTAGCTGCCCTGTAGCTAGCATTTCTAATACAATATTGAATAATAGTGATTATAATAGAATCCTTGTTTCATCCCTGATCTTATTGGGAAAGCTTCTAACTTATCCTCATTCCAGATAATACTTACTCTTGGCTTTAGATAGATACAACTTAACATTGCCTTTTCTGTAACTACTGATATAATCATATGATTTTTGTTATCAATATGGTCAATTATGCTGCTAGTTTTCCTCATAATGAACCAGTCCTACATTCCTGGTATAAATCCCACCTAGTCATAGTATATGATCTTAATGATCTACTGCTAGAATCTCCTTGCTAGTATATTATTTAAATTTTTTTGCTATCAATATTCATTAGGGAGATTAGCCTGTAGTTTTCTTTCTCCGTTTTTGCTCTCCCTAGTTAAGGTATCAAAACTGTATTTGTGTCATAAAATGAATTTGGTAGGACTTCTTCTTTACCTATTTTTTTTTCAAATAGTTCATATGGTATTAGGATTAATTGTTCCTTAAATGTTTGGTAGAATTCACCATCTGGTCCTGAGGACTTTTTCTTAGGGAGCTCATTTATGGCTTGTTCAATTTTTTTTCTAAGATGAGGTTATTTAAGTATTTCCTCTTCTGTTAATCTAGACAATTTATATTTTTATAAATATTTGCTTTATAAATAATCACTATGATTGTCAGTTTTACTGGTATATAAATAGGCAAAGTAATTCTTAATAATTGCTTTAATTTTGCTTCCTTGATGGTGCATTTACCCTTTTCATTTTGATACCAGCAATTTGGTTTACTTCTTTTTAAAAAAAATCAAATTAACTAATGGCTTATCTTTTTTTTTTTCATAAAGCAAACTCCTAGTTTTACATATTAGTTCAATGTTGTTTTTTTACTTTCAATTTTACTAATATCTCCTTTAATTTTCTAGATTTCCATTTTGGTGTTTAATTAGGGATTTAAAAATTGTTCTTTTTCTAGTTTGTTTTTTTTTTTAGTTGCATGCTCAATTCATTGATCAGTTCTTTCTCTTTTGTGTTGTTGTATGCATTTAGAGATATAAAATTTCCCCTAAGTACTTCTTTGGCTGCATCCCATAAATTTTGGTATGTTGTCTAATTGTTGTCATTTTCTCTAATGAAATTATTAATTGTTTCTATGACTTGTTGTTTGGCCCACTCATTCTTTAGAATTAGCTTAGTTTTCAATTAATTTTTAATCTGTGTTTCCATGGCCCTTTATTGAATATTCTACCTTGTAGTTCTAGGAATTTGGAGCAATTTTCCTTTATAATTTATTGAAAGGTGATGTCTAGGCTCTTTCTTTGATAATGACTTTCAGGTAGTCCAATAATCCTTAAATTATCTCTTCTCAGTCTATCTTCCAGGTCAGCCATTTTTTTTCCAGTTAGATATTTCATGTTTTCTTTTGTCTTTTTTTTCTTGACTTCGTTTTTATTGTTTCATGATGTTACATGGAGTCATTAGCTTCCACTTGCCCAATTCTAATTTTTTAAGGAATGATTTTTTTCAGTGAGCTTCTGTAACTTTTTTATTGGGCCAGTTCTGCTTTTTAAGGAGTTATTTTCATCAGGGAAGTTTTGTACCTATTTTATCATTTTGATGGGGTTGGGATCTGGGCCCCAGAAAGGAAAAACCCTGGACTTTCCCACATGGCCAAGTCTCTGGTGTTCACCTGAGGCTATAATCCAATCAGCTGGCCTTTCATTGTGGCTACACCCAATCTCCCAATTCTATTACCCTTAACCTAGACTAGCCTCCTTAAGGCCCCCAGCCATTTCCTACACTTAATCCTAGCTAGGCTTCATTGTCCAGGTCCCAGCAGTTCTGTTCACCTCAGTTTACTGGCCACTCCCATCCAGATCTCCTTAAACCCTTCCTCCAGTCACCCCAAACTACTTGGCCACTCCTAGATCCCTCCCACAGTCTTTCTGTATATAAGGTCCATCTTGTCTCCATTAAGATGCTTAGATTCTTAAAATCTAGCCACTGCTCAGATTCTTATAATCTAGCCAATAGCTTACTAATGTTCAGACTCCTTAAGCGTCTGCCCAATATGACGGATGTTCTAATAAACCTTGTGTTTGGCTGAAAGAAGGCTTGGGTCGAATTCTTTCGGGTAGGACCCACGTGTTGTGATTTTGGGGACCCAAGACCCCTGAACCCCTAAACCGCATCAATTTGACCAATTTTGTTTTTTAAGGTGTTATTTTCTTTAGTATTTTTTGTGCCTCTTTAAAAAAAAAACAAGCTGTTAATCGTCTTTTCATAATTTTCTTACATTGCTCTAATTTCTTTTCTTGATTTT